AGCATGTTTTAACATGTTTCCCACTTGTCTGAGGAGCAGAAAAGACAGGGATAATTGTGCTCCAAAGTTTCCTGGGGACTCAACCCTGCACATGGGGTCCCTGGGAAAAGCCTTCATTGAAATCCAGGCCTTTTTTGATGTGGATTTTGAGACACCTACATTTGAAAAGTCAAGTCAACAAATCCGAGCTGTTCAACATCTGAACGCTGCAGGGATGGATATTGGCACTTGGCTCCGGTGGTTTCCAACCTGGGAATTTCATATATCTCTCACTATCTGTCACCACCATTCCCACTGACCTCCCTGTGCTGGGAGCTCGTGGTGTGCAGGCTGCAAACTGATCTTTGCAAGCTGGGAGCTGGCAGTGCAGGGCTGGAAAAAGAGCTGAACTGCAGGGAGCACTGAAGGTCTGAGCCTTGGATATGGAAAGAAGAGAAATAATATCAAAGGAAATCACATAAGTGGAAAAAGAGCCCCCTGGGGCAGCCCAGGCAGCAGCAGGTCTGTCTTGTTCATATTTTCAGAGAAGTTAGAGGTCAGCCAAGCTTGATAACGAGGTAATAAAGAAAAATCCATCACTGAGCCTTGGGGGACTTGTAGATGCAATTCTCATCAGAATAAACGAATTTAGATGCTGCTCGGCAGAAGCAACAAGAACCATTATGGATCACAGACCCAACAGATCATCTGTAAGGGTCTGGGAGCAAAATCGGCTGGGCTGTAGCAGAACTTTCCACAACTCCCAAGGGCTTCACTTCCCGGGGTTTCCCCTCTGCTAAGTCCCCGCGCCGGGAGATGCTGCGGCAGGATCAGCTCCCTTAGGCGTGGGCATGAGCGGTGCCAGGGCAGGAGCAGCCATCGCGCCCTGCGGTGCTTCGGGCTTCGTGTTCTGCCCTCCGACTGCACCCCCACCAAACAACGGTCTGGGCAGACGGTCAGGGCGAGAGTTTTCCCTGTGGGGGGGGAAAAAAAAAAAAAAAAAAAAAAAAAAAAAAAAAAAAAAAAAAAAAAAAAAAAAAAAAAGAAAAAAAAAAAGAGCCTCGTCTCTGTGGCCAGTTTTGAAGCTTTCAGGAGCTCCGACCCGGGCGGAAGCACTGGGACACCCAGGGAAAACCTCGGCCGTGGGGGGATCCACCTGCTGAAGCCGTCAGCAGGGCATCAAATACCGACCCCGCAGGCCTGGTCAAACACCTCATTAAGACAGGCGGGAAAGACAGTGAAAATCAATTGAAAGAAAAAAAAAATCATAATGATCAGTTGATGGCCTTTATTTTTTTCCCCTACTTTTGAGACTTTCTGGACACTCTCTCCACTCCAGCAGCACTCATCCCCACGTACGTTTGATTCTGCAGTTTAACGTGAAATGCAAAGCAGAGTTGAGTTCAAATGGGAAGCGAGGCTGTCTGTAAGGAAATACCGCAGAGAAGAGTGCAGAAAAATTAAAAGTCTGCCCAAGGAAAAATGCTTCCCTCCCAGCCTAGCATGCCCCGGCTCAGCGGGGTGATGACAAAGCAATCTTTTCGGGTAGATCAATAAGGTTTTTCTTTCGGGAGACCACATCATTTCTTCGCCCGGCGCATATTAAAACCCGCCCGTCGCTCCGTGTGTGGATGCACGGCCGAGAGTGTGTGTGAGAGTGTGTGTGTGTGTGTGTGTGCACCGTGTCTGGGATCCGGGCATCTGGTTTGTTTCAGTCCAGGGTTTCCCTTTTCTAAATCATCTCGGGACGGGTGTATTTTAGGTACTTTTTCTCGTTTTGATTTGTTTCTGCAGCTGATCTCGCTTGGCAAAGCCGAGGCTGAGACCGACTCGGCGAAGAGAAGCTGTTCGGAGACGGAGAGAGCGGGATTCATTCACTCTCGTTCCATTGTGGGTCATCCCCGACATAAACGGGGACCATATTGTGCCTTGAAACAGGCAGAAATCGTGTCGGTGCCGGGTGATGGGGACGCGCTGTTTCTCGAGCTGCGGCGCTCTGGGTGCGCGGTGCTGAGCGGGAGAGCCAGGTCCAGGCGGGAGCAGGACAAGGCACCGGCCGCATCCCATCAACAGCGCCTCGCATCAGCCCTTCTGCCTCTCCCGTACATTTCCCACCTCATCGGGGTCCCCATGACCATGAGTGTAGCAGCAAGCGGCTCCACCCGAGTTCCCCGTTGCCGGGGGCTCCCCCCGAGGTCTGCCCACCTCTCCAGACAGGAGGAGAGGCGCAGCCGGGGCAGGGCAGGGGTGGGCAGGCAGCAGAGACCCACATCTGTTTCACTTCGAGCTGTGCGGGACCAGCCTCCAGACGGAGCGATCGGGACGCGGCCGAGCATCTTTCTCCCCCGGAGCATCCCCCGGGCGGTGTCCCCTGCCCCCGGCCGCTCGCAGCGCGTCATTTTGCTGCCCTCCACCCCCGCCCTCCCCTTCGCCGCCCTGCACAGGCACAAGACGCAGCTCCCAGCAGTTCCTCGCTGCCATGAAATGCACCAAGTGGAAATTCAATCGCCCCGTTGTGTGTGTGGTCGAAATCTCTGGCAGCTGCTTCGGAATTTTTTATGACACTTTCGTTTATGTAGGGGAGGCATAACTATTATTTTACTTAATAAAAATGGAAAGCGGCTCGGGTCTTTTCCCTCTCCGCTCTCTTCCATTTGTTCTTCCCATCGCCTTTCCACCGGGCTGATGAACGGAGAGTTTAAACAATGTTAGTAGGAAAGATGCGGCATCTCCGAGGCATTTCTCCGTGTTAGACAATTATATATACATGTATATATGAAAAAAAAAATATATATATTGGGAAAAGAAAGAAAATAGATACTGGTATAATTTAATATATATATCTATACACGCAAACATATGAGAGGGAGATATATGCGTATGTACTGTGAGCACAGGTCAGGAACATCGGAGAAGTATAAAAGCGAAAGCTCAGGAAAGCTCCCTCAGAATTGACACGCGCCCTCGGGACAGGCTTCCCACCTTCCCGAGAAACTCTCAGCACAGTTTTCCCCTTTACTTTTCCTCTCCGATCGAAAAATTCTCCCCGATGTCCGCGCTGGCTGCGAGGAAGGAGGATGCGACCGACTTCGCGCAGAGGCTCCCGCTCCGAAATCGCTGCTTCCACCGGAGATGTGTGGACGGAGACGTCCGCTTCTGTCCTCTCCTCGGGGTCCCCCCGAATTCGCCGAGCCTGTGCACCGAGTCGTTAGGGCTTGAGTAATTGTGACCGGCATTTGGAAGCGGGGCCGCGCAGCTGTTTGGCCCGGCTCCCCGGTATTAGTGCTGGAGATTTTATCACCAAATGCTCGCACCTGTTAACGGCAGAGACTGGCAATTCATCACCGCGGATTCTCACACTACTGAACGTGGCCCTGGCGGGGGGACATCTCCTCATGATATCCCCTTGGAGGAACCCATCCCCTTCTTCCCTCCCCAAGCATCCTCCCACGGGAAAGGAGATACGTGTTTGCAGAGCTTCCAAGGGAAAAAACCAAACCAAACCAAAACCTAACGGTGCGAGCGTGGTTCAAAGTGTCCGAGATAGAGACAGGGACAACCTGCTGTCACAGCCACCTACGGGACATGGGCTGAGCAGCTTCAGCTGCGGACGTGTTCCCTGGACTGCGCCAGGGCAGCTACAAGGGGGACAGCGGGGCTCTGCCACCCGCGGGGACACTGCCGAGGCTCCCGGGGACCTTGTGTGCCTCTGTTTAGAAGAAAATCCTCCCGCTTCGCGTGCAGCCCGCGACAAGGTGGGTGTCTGCTGCCCACCACCTCCTCCTGCCAGCCGACAGGAAAGCGGAGGCAGGAGAGCGGCAGACAGGAGATCCCGAGGCCGCGGGATATTCCCCTTCCCGAAGGGCTCCAGCGGCCCGGCTGTGGGTGGGCCGCCTTGAAAAGTGGTACCCGGCGGGGCCAGCCTCGTGGGGCGGACATGCAGGACTCGAGTGCGGTCCCAGCACCCCGCGGACACGCACAGCCTTTACTTTGGTTATTTCTCGCCGGGGGAGAGGCTCGGCAGAGCGCTGCTCCTCGCCCTCCGGCCCGCACCTGCCGGGCGCAGCATCCCTTCCGTGGGAGCCTCGGAGGAGGCGGGTTTCCAGGCAGGGTGCTCCGGCCTTGGTGACGTGTCGGTGACGTAAGCGCGTGGAGAAGGGGAGAGGGGATCCCCAAATTCACACGACCCCTCAAGGGGGCCGAAGGCTCGGTCCTGGCGGAGTGAGGTTCCCTGTCGGCGAGGCTGCGGGAGATCTGCAGCTCATCCCCCAGAGTTTCGGGGACGGGCAGCCCTCGGGGGGAGAACGGACCCTCCGCGGACCCCCGGGCCGAGGAAGCCGACCGTCGCATCGCGCAGGAATGGGGTCTGAGAGCCTCGAGCACCGCGGGGCGCTTGGGGCGGGGAGGGGCTTCATCCAGCATCGATCGCCCCCCTCCTATAGCAGCCGGCTCCAGACGAAGCCGGGGGCATCCGAGCGCCAGGGGAGCGGGCAGCGCCTTTCCTCGAAAGCATCTCGGGCGGGGGACACGCTCCCCGGGGACCGGGCCGGGCCGGGCAGTCCCTCATCGTGCCCCGTGGGGGCTGCGGCGGGCGCCACGTGATGCCGGGGCGGCCGTATAAAGGCCTGGGGAGCGCTGGCAGCCGGCGCAGAGTGGGAGCGTTTCCACCGGGTCCCAGCTCGGGAGGGGTGGGGAGGGGGGAGCCGCCTTCCCCACTTCTGCCCTCCCCCCTCCCTCTTCCCCTGCCCCTCCCTTCCCCCTCCCCCTCCCTCCCCCCAACCAGAAAAGGAGCCGTCGCAAACCCCACTTTTCTTTTTTTCTCCCTCCTGTTTCTCTCCTTTTATTATCATTATCACCATTATTTATTATCGCTGTTCCCAAGCGCCCTGCCCAGCCCACGGGCGCCCCGTCCCCCCGCCCCCGCCCCGCGCCCCCTCCGCCGCCCCTCCCTCCGCAGCCACCACCCCGCAGCCACCACCGCGGCCCCGCCAGCAGCGGCGCGGCGAGCGGGGCGCGGAGCGGAGCGGCGGCGCCGGGGCGCGGAGTCCCAGCGGCGGCCGCAGCCCTCCGGCACGGCCCCGGGCCCATCCCGGGAGCCGCCGCTAGGTGGGGGGGGGAGCCCGGCCCCGGCCGCCCCGGCCGCACAACAATGACTTTGGGCAGCAGCGGCGGCGGCGGCTGCGGGATCATGTCCGAGCGCTCCCCGGAGGAAGAGCCGCTCTCCGAGGTGGAGGACGCGGATATCGACGTGGTGGGCCCGCCCCAGGATGGGGGCAAGTACAGCGAGGAGGAGGAGGACGAGGACGAGGAGGAGGAGGACGAGGAGGACGGCGGCGATCCGCTGGGGCTGGCGCTGCCGCGGAGCGGGGCCGCCAAGGCGCGCATGGGGGGGTCCCCGGAGCGGCTGTCCCCCGCCGGCGGCTCGGAGCCGGCCTGCGCCCGCGGCGCCGCGCCCGGGGAGAAGGCGCCCGCGGGCGGCGGCGGCGGCGGCGGCGCGGGGGGAAAGAACCCGCTGGTGAAGCCGCCCTACTCCTACATCGCCCTCATCACCATGGCCATCCTGCAGAGCCCCAAGAAGCGGCTGACGCTGAGCGAGATCTGCGAGTTCATCAGCGGGCGCTTCCCCTACTACCGGGAGAAGTTCCCCGCCTGGCAGAACAGCATCCGCCACAACCTCTCCCTCAACGACTGCTTCGTCAAGATTCCTAGGGAGCCCGGCAACCCGGGCAAGGGCAACTACTGGACGCTGGACCCCGAGTCCGCCGACATGTTCGACAACGGGAGCTTCCTGCGCCGGAGGAAGCGCTTCAAGCGGCAGCAGCAGCTGCACCCGCCGCACCCCGAGCTGCTGCTGCGGGCCGGGGCCGCCGACCCCGCCGCCTTCTTGCCGGGCTTCGCCTACGGACCCTACGGCTACAACTACGGCCTGCAGCTCCAGGGTTACCCCCACCACCACCACCACCATCCCGGTGGCGGAGGCGGCGGCGCCGCGGGCGCCTTTCCCTTCCCGGCGCCGCACTGCCCGTTACCGGCTCCGCCGCCTCCCGCCGCCGCCTCCGTGTTCTCCGCCGCCTCGGGGCTGCCCTCCTTCCTGGGCGGCGAGCTGAACTGCAGGAAGTCCTTCTACCACCCCCAGCTGAGCCCCACCGCCCTGCCCGCCGCCCTCCTCCAGACCCTCAAGCCGGACCCCTCGCCCGCCGGCGGCGGCGGCAGCGGCGGCACCAACCACCCCTCCCGGCCCTCTTTTTCCATAGACAACATCATCGGGGGGGCCGTGCCCCCGCCGCCCAGCACCAACCCCAGCGTCGCGCCCGCCGCGCCCTACCCCGCCGGCCAGGCGGGCCCCCCGGCGCAGGTCCTGGCCGTGCTCAGCCCCGCCTTGGCCCCGGCACAGCCCCAGGTCAGCCTGGCACACGAGCCGCTCCTCCAGCCGGCCCAGAACTTTTCCAGTAAAATCACAACCCTCAGCAGCTGTCATTTTTAAAGTGTGCTGGGGACTGGGGAAGGGGAGGGGGATGGGGGGGAGAGTCGCGAAGCAAACGGCCCCTTCCCAGCTCTCCCCCACTCCTCCGAAACTGCTCCCCTTCCCTCTCCCCGTGTCCCCCCCATCTCCTCCTGTTGTGTTTTAAGGTAGGAAATATTTCCTTTTTTTTTTTTTTTTTTTTTTTTTTTTTTTTTTTAATTTGTACTTAATTTCCAGGCTCAGTGGCATCCAGATCTGTTTGTCTCTCTTTGCTCGGAAAAAAAAAATTCAATAAATCGGGAGGGCGGGTGGAGGGAAAGAATAACACGATTTGGTCCTACAAGCGCCAAAGCGTATTTATAAAGTGGCCGTAACATAAGCTGGGACCTGGGCTGGTTGAACACGCAACGTCTTGTGAGGGGCGGAGGGGGGGCATGTGAAGAACGAAACGGTCTTAGGGTCGGAAATGTTTCCTTTGAGAGGTGCGGGTTTTCCGCGGGGGTCCCCCCAGATCGCCTGGGAAAGCGGCCAGGGGAGTTGCGGACGGCCCCGGTCGCAGCGAGCCCGTTTTCGTTCCTGCAAGTCTCTGTGCAGGGTGGCTTTGCCATGTGTGTCTGTTTCTCCCCTGCTCTCAAAGAAAATGTTTTAATGCTCCTATCTTATTTTTAGTTTCTTTGAAGCTTCGAGTTTGGTTTTAAAAGGCACTGTTTAAGGTTTCTTTGTTTTTAAGAAGAAGAAAAGTCAGTGAAACTCAGGACTGTGGTTTATTTTTTTACTTTTTTTTTTTTCCCCCCCAATTAGACATTCAAATGCACGTTTAAAAGAAAATCCGATCCGTCAGGAAGTTTGGAGAATTCCCATACAATTTTTTTTTTTCTAAATCCCTGTTTTCCCACCCCCTCCGTGCGTGGGTTTTTTGGTGTATTGGTAATTATTTGTATATAGATTATTCGGGAGCTAATGAGCGGAGTCCAGTTAACTCTTCACTGGTTGTGCATCCGTCATATCTATTTTATTGAGAGAATCTGTGAATAATTTGATGTGGAAAAGGCAACAGAATTTTGTCCACCGTTGGTGTAAATTAATAAATGTTTGTGACCTGGTTAAAAAACAAAAAATAATCCAAATCGTTCTTTGCGATGTCCTTTGTCACGCTGAGAGCCGAGGGCCCCGCTCGGGCCTCGGGGAAGCGAGAGGTTCCCAACCTCGGGCCGGCGATTCCCGGGCGTTGGGCAGGGGCTGAGCGGCCCCTCCGCGGCCGGGCGCGCATCCTGCGCTGGGCTGCTCCGCGCTGCGGGCCCGGGTCACCGCGGCCGTCCCCTCTGTAGGTCCACGGGCCAGCAAGCGAAAAGATCCCTGGATAACTATTTTTTTGGTTAATTTTATTTTTTTTTTAGTTCTTGGATTTTGGTGTCTCCCAGAAAAAAAAAATCAAAAACCCAAAGACAACCCCCCCCCGAAAAAAAAATTATCCTGCGTATTTTCGGGGGGAAGGAGGTGGTGGGGCGGCCGGGAAAAAGGTTCTCCCATCTTCACCCCCTCCCCCCCCACCTCCTTTTATTTTGTTTGGAAAAGTTGACACATGAGAAAATAAGTTGGAGGGTTTCCCCCCCGCATACACGTCCCCCTTGGGCCTGCAGTATTTGAATGACCGAATGAAACTTGATCTCTGCCTAAATTTTGCAACAACTTACAAAGTAAATAAACATCTTAAAGCGCTCTCTTCTCTTCCAAACTTCTCCCCCCCTCCCCCCCCACCTAAAATTTATTTATTTCAGGGACCAAACGTGGCTCTTCGGTTTGTTTGTTGGCAGGGACCCTGATCGAAAGATTCGAGGCCTTTCTGACCAGGCAGCCAGCTGAAGGAGAAGGAGAAAAAGGAAAAAAAAGCAGAGGCGTACGAGGCAGGGAGCAGGGGACGGAGCCGGTCCCCGGGCAGCGGGGCTTTGTGCGGGGCCCTCGGGGGCTCGGGCAGGAGCAGGAGCCGGGCGGTGTGCACCGGGGAGCAGGGGGGGATCGGCTTTTCTTTTCTCTTCCCCCACCCATCCCTTTTTTATCCCCCCTCCGCTGCCCCTGTCTGTGCCACCTCGAACCTCCGCGCAGTTTGTTGATGTTGTTCCTGAACGTGCCGCCTTCCCGCAGCGAGCGGTCTCACATCTCGCCTTCACACACATTTGCTTTTGAAAAGCGATCTTCGTGTCCGGCACTTGGTTGTCTCCCTTTCATGTCCAGCTCCTACAAAAGGGGCTACAAGACTCGACATGGGAGAAAAGAGGAGGCCAATGAATCTATTTTCCAGATTGCCAAGCACATGGTTGGAAATTGAAGGGGCTTTTGTAGCATTTCCCCTTCCTCCCTCCCTCCACTCTCCTTTTCTTTTGCTTGTGTGCAAATTGTTCAATTGCTCTGGCAGGGGTGTTCCTGACAAGCTCATTACTAGAAGGTGCCAGACCCCTCCTCTCCCTCTCCCCCGAAGTCTTTGATGAAGTTAAAATGCGCTGATAGCTGCTCTCGGGGCTATCTTTGTTCAGCCTCTTTTAATAACCGAGCCTGCTTTGAGGAGACGGGATCCGAGGGAAGAAAGCGATGTGCAGCGAGGCTGGGTGGTGGTTGTGCGCCTGGCAGAAGGGGGGCTGGTTATTTTAAGATAAAGTAGCGATGTTTAATAATTTTTGGCTTGTTTGTTTGTGAAGCGCAGGAGGAAAAGGAGCCAAGGGTGCCAGGAGCGGATAAGAAATGGCAGTCGATGCCCATAGGGATGAAGGAGGCGTGTGGCCCCTACAGTCCCGCTGGTGCAGTGGGTCCTCCAAGTTGGTGGTCTCAGGGCTTAAAGGGATGGAGGGGGGTCCTCTGCAGGGAAGCGGTGTTTCCCTGGAGAGCCCCCTGCCCCCACACGCTCAGGAGAGGGAGGTCGGGGGGAGAGGGGGGGTGTCTGGGACTGGAACACCTTTCCCCGGCTCCGTTCATCTCCTTTTGCCTTGCGGAGTTATTGTGAGTTTTTAAGCCGCGGTCGCCGGCCAGGATTGAAGCTGAACTGACTTTGGGAGCGAGGGGATTCCCCTCCTCATGCGGGACTCGTGGTACCCACGCAGGAAGGGTCGGGCTCGGACCTGCGGGGGCTGCGAGTGCAAGCGCCGTCGAGGTCTTATTTTGGGAGGAAGCGTCCCAAGCTTCTCTAAAACTAAATTTTTCCCCATTCCCTGAATTTCTCTGAAACACCGCAGCTCGTTCCGTGCCTTGATCAGTCTCACGCCGCCTGCAAGTGTTTGAATGGCTCGGGGACGTTCGGGAGAGCACCCCCGGGAACCGGCTCTCCCCGTCTGGAATGGGGGGCGGCAGGGAAGGACCCGGGGGTCTCCCCTGGGTCCGGAATGCCCTGGCCGGGCTCGTCTCGGGGGTTTCACGAGAAATTTTGTCTCGGCTAGGCGGAACGGATAATGGCCCCTAATTACGAGGCTGGCTGGCTCCGCGGCCCCGATCTTCACGGGACGTTATTTTTAAGCGTTCAGCGAGGATCATTTTTCACGCCTCGCTGCCTAAAGGAGGGTTTTATTTATTTATTGGAGGGGAGGCGAGGAGGACACCAGCAATAACCGAGCACTGAAAGGAAAATAATTAGCTGTTGCAGTCGCTGCTTGGGAGTCCCTGGCCAAAAAGGCGACTTGGCATTTCCCTTTTCCTCCTCTCCCTTGCGTAGGCTCCGTAGCCCAGGTTCTTTCGGGGGTTGCTTTCGGGGGTTGGTTTTGTCAGTGCTAAACCCTGGGCAAATCCCGATCCTTTTCGGCACGTTAGGGTTTGTGTTTTGTTTTGTTTTTTTTTTTTCCTTCTCCCTTTCGGATCGGCGGCTGTTTCCAAGTAGGTCCGAGGGAATACGGATTCCCTTGCCTTGCTTTGGCTTTGGTCACGCATTCATGGGGATTTTTTTTTTTTTTTAATGTGCCCCCACTCCTCTGCTTTCTGTATGTCAGATGAAAGGGTTGTAGCAAAACCGCGACGTTCTCTGCGTAGTTACTCCGCGGAGGATTTCCGTGTGTGCGCTGCCTAGGAGAGGCGGAAAACGGGGGATTCTCCTCGGGTTTGTCGGGGCGGGATAAAACGATCCTGCCCCGGAATATCCCCGTCGGGACCACAGCGGGAGGGCTGTGTGTGTGTAATTTCTTTTTCTGCTTTCGCTTAACTAAGCCCGTGTTAAGCGGGTCGGATCCCGAGGAGGGAAGCGAGTGGCCCTTCCCTCGCCCGCTGTGGGCAGTGGGTGCGGGACCCCGGCCCGGCCGGCCCCGCTGCGCCGCCCGCTCGGCCCTCACCTCCTGCCTCTTCCCCTGGCACCTTCTGCTTTCCATTACTGCTGATTTGGAGAATTAGGAAAGGTCAAGATCTTATTCCTTTCTCCGGTAGTTTTTTTGTTTTCTCTTTCTACTTTCTCGCAGCCCCGAACAAAAATAAATCATCCTGGATTATGAAAACCACCTTAAGACATCAAGAACATATTTTCCAATAGTTTGATCCTTCCTCCAGGACTGCCCTGGCCTTTCCTTGTGACTGCGCAGAAACTCCCGTTTTCACGGTGAATTTAGGATTTAATAATAACGTCCAATCTCTCTGTGCCCCAGTGCCCGACCTGAAAACATTACCCTCCAGCATCTTCTTTCTCTCTCCGTCTCTCTTTCGTTTCTTTCCTTCCCCAGCAGAAGGTAGAGAAACGAAATTAAAAAAAAAATAAAATAAATAAAAAATCTCGTTTTCCGATCTGGAGAGGGCAGGAAGAGCTGTCGGAGTCTGCTCAGCCGCGGGAAAATTTCTTTGGAAATTAAGTTGGTGCTTTTGAAATCTCGAAATGTTCGCAGTAGGTCAGGGACCTTTGCTCGCCCCTGTGTCCGTCTGTCAGGCGAGGAGAGGGCCAAAGGCTCCGCGTTCTCCCCTCACCTCCCGGACTACGGCTCCTCTATCCTTCTTCCTCTTCTTCGCCTTTTATTTCTCATCCCCTCTTTTTTCACTTTTTATTTATTTTTTGTAATTTCCCATCTTC